CCAACCCATGAATATTCATAGCAGCATTGTTTGTAATATCCCAAAACTGCAAACAGGGATGCCTAGGTGGCTCAGTCGGTTAAGCATTGGACTCTTGATTTTGGTTGGCTCAGGTCATGATCTCAGGGTCATGAGATCGAGCTGGGTGTGGGGCTCTGTGTTGGGTAGGGAGTCTGCTTGAGACTCTCTCTCTCTCCCTGTGCTTGCATGAACCCTCAGGTGTGCACTCTCTCTCTCTTAAAAAAAAATTGCAAACAGGGGCACCTGGGTGGCTCAGATGGTTGGGTGTCTGCCTTCGGCTCAAGTCATGGTCTCAGGGTCCTCAGGGATTGAGTCCCACATTGGGCTCCTTGCTTAGCGAGGAGCCTGCTTCTCCCTCTGCCTGCCACTTCCCCTGCTTGTACTCTCCCTCTGGCAAATAAATAAATAAAATCTTAAAAAAAAAATGCAAACAATCCAAATGTCCATTAACTGGTAAATGGATCATCAAAATGTGGTACAACCGTACCAGAACAGAATACCTGTATGTACCCCAGCATGCATGAACTTCCAAAACAACGTGCTATGGTGCAAGCCAAGCTACTCATGCTGTTTGACAAGGTCCAAGTATGGAGGACGATCCTGAAAACAGGAGACTCCATAGCTGGCTCCTGCTATTCTCTTTCATTTTGTTTATGGCAATCTTTGCAATTGTGGGAATATTTCTGGGGTTTAAATTGTGGGAATATTTCTGGGGTTTCATGATAAAGTGACTACTCATCTTAATTACGCCTATCTAAGCAATCATAATGAAACTAATTCCACAAAGAAGTAGTTTCTATAGAACAAAATAACAAGACGGTCACGCTCTGTCTAGCACCTTTCTCTTTGCGTACTGTTTTTTAGTTTTAGCGAAAGTCAATAAGCGGAAATCAATAAAGGTCATGTTAATCATTACAAAGGGAAAATGAAAGAAGGCTATGTCTGTAATCCAGAAAATGATCTAAGATTTGGAAAAACAAAAATATCCTAACATATAAATAAAGCTCCTCCGAGCCTGTCAGCAGGAGATGCTTGCGACCTGACCCTGTGTCTGTGTCTCCTCATTCGCCGACGCCGTCCTTTCCGTCCTTTCCTACGAGAGACCCACCTGGCTGGAGCTGGACTCCGGCAGTGCTAATGTTGCTGGACAGAACCAGTTCTGAACTCAGATTCGGCGGCTCCCCTCTCAAAAATCAATACTCGAGAGACAAGTGATGGTGGGAAAAGAGAGGTCGCTTTATTCAGAAAGCCAGCAACCGGGGAAGAGGGTGGACTAATGTCTGGAAGGCCACCGTCCCCGTCCAGGCCAAGCGGGAGGGTCTTAGAGGGGGAGGTGCAGGGAATGGGGAGGGGGCTGCGAGCGGGAGACACGGTGCCCAGGCAGTCGGCTCTATGTCCACGGGACCCTGACAGACTTGCTGGCATCCGTGGCAGGTATTTTTGAATGTGGTCTGGCCTTATCTCTTGGGAGAGACTGGTCCTTCACTCTCAAGGCCAGTGATCTGCAAATCCAAGGAGAGCAGGTTAGTTTGCTGCAGACGGCGACATCGGGCAGCAAGAAGGGGCGCGTAAGCCTGAGGCCAGCTCCCTGCTGAGGCTTCAGGAGTGCTGTCACACTAAGTGAAAGAAGCCAGACTTGAAAGACTCCATAGTATGTGATTCCATTTATGTGAAATGTGCAGAAAACACAATTGCAGAGAGACATAAAGCAGATCGCTGGCTCTCTAGAGCCAATGATGGGAGCAGAAATCAGCTGCAAATCTGGTGATTGTTCCACCGTTCTTGAAGTTGACTGAAAATCATTCAATTGTCCCTTCTAATGAGTGAATTTTATGGTATATAGATTATATCTCCATAAAGCTGTTTGAAAGGTGGACAAGAAATCTTGTAGCTGCATGACTTGGTGTTTCTATGGTTTCCATTCAACCCATGCAATCCTCAGTCTCTACTGGCTCCTTCTTATTTGTCTCCTTTCTGTGTTTTGGTCTCTAATTTTGTTCTACATGTTTCTTTCAGTGATTTTATCCACTCCCACGGCCTCAACTGTTGCCATGAACCTTAAAGTACTCTCTATCTCCAACCCCAGAACACTTCCCCAAATTCTAAATTGGTACTTCCAAATGCCTGTTGGACAAATCCAGCTGAATACTCCACAGAAACGTCAACCTCAATTCATGTAATACAGTCGTCAGGGTCCACCTCACCTTCACCATCGACCCTAGATTCCCTTTGACAAAGTTCATGAATTACTCTTTCAGCCTCCACAATGAAATATAAATGCTTCCCAACACTAGTGTAGTCTCACCAAAACCTAAGTGTGGATTTTTTTAATTTATTGAAGTATAAGTTCTTAACTAGTAAGTAAAGCTGGGTGCCCCTCAGCTTCCCTTTTCATTAAATAACAATAGTAGCTATTAAACTGATATTTCAGGGGCACCTGGGTGGCTCAGTCAGTAAAGCGGCCGACTCTTGGTTTCAGCTCCGATCATGATCCCAGGGTGGTGAGATTGCGCCCCACAACTGGCTCCTCACTGGGCATGCAGCCTGTTTAAGATTCTCTCTCTCCCTCTGCGCCCCCCCCAACTCACACACTCTCTCTCTCCAAACAACAACAACAGAAAATTGATATTTCAGTGTATACTGTGTGCTGGTCTAATTCCCTTACTCTCTCGACCCTAGGCTTGGTGGTGAATAAAATAATTTCCCTGTACACCCAAGGAAGTAAGTGTGAAATGATAGGATCTCACTCCGAATACCAACGAATGCAGGCTATTACATCAGAGTACACAATAGGGAGCATGTCTGACATTTGGATGTTCCCCTTTAGCTACAGAGAAATCACTGATTCACAAAGGTTTAGGGGTCTTTATCCATCTCGGAAATTGTTTGCAATTTGATTTTTTAAAATTTAATTTTATTATGTTATGTTAATCACCATACAATACATCATTAGTTTTTGATGTGGTGATCCACGATCCATTGTTTTTGTATAACACCCAGTGCTCCATGCAGTACGTGCCCTCCTTAATACCCATCACCGGGCTAACCCATCCCCCCCACCCCCGTCCCCTCTAAAGCCCTGTTTGTTTCTCAGAGTCCATAGTCTCTCATGGTTCATCTCTCCCTCCGATTTCCCCCCTTCATTTTTCCCTTCCTTCTCCTAATGTCCTTCATGCTATTCCTTATGTTCCACAAATAAGTGAAACCATATGATAATTGACTTTCTCTGCTTGACTTATTTCACTTAGCATAATCTCCTCCAGTCCCATCCATGTTGATGTAAAAGTTGGGTATTCAACCTTTCTGATGGCTGAGTAATATTCCATTGTAGATATGGACCACATCTTCTTTATCCATTCATCTGTTGAAGGGCATCTCAGCTCTTTCCACAGTTTGGCTATTGTGGACATTGCTGCTATGAACGTTGGGGTGCATATGGACCTTCTTTTCACTACATCTGTGTCTATGGGGTAAATACCCAGGAGTGCAATTGCTGGGTCATAGGGTAGCTCTAGTTTTAAATTTTTGAGGCACCTCCACACTGTTTTCCAAAGTGGCTGTACCAACTTGCATTCCCACCAAAGGTGTAAGAGGGTTCCCCTTTATCCACAACCTTTCCAACATTTGTTGTTTCTTTACCTGTCCATTTTGCCATTCTAACTGGTGTAAGGTGGTATCTCAATGTGGTTTTGATTTGAATTTCCCTGTTGGCTAATGATGATAAACATTTTTTCACGTGTCTGTTAGCCATTTGTATGCCTTCTTCAGAGAAGTGTCTGTTCGTGTCTTCTGCCCATTTTTTTACTTGATTATGTGTTTTTTGGGTGTTGAGTTTAAGAAGTTCTTTACAGATCTTGGATACCAGCCCTTTATCTGTAGTGTCATTTGCAAATATCTTCTCCCATTCTGTGGGTTGCCTCTTTGCTTTGTTGATGGTTTCCTTTGCTGTGCAGAAGCTTTTTATCTTGATGAAGTCCCAAAAGTTCATTTTTGCTTTTGTTTCACTAGCCTTTGGAGCTGTATCTTGAAAGAAGTTGCTGTGGCCAATGTCAAAGAGGTTGCTGTCTGCATTCTCCTCTAGGATTTTGATAGATTCCTGTCTCACATTGAGGCCTTTCATCCACTTTGAGTTTATCTTTGTGTATGGTGTTAGAGAATGGTCAAGTTTCATTCTGCTGCATGTGGCTGTCCAATTTTCCCAGCACCATTTATTGAAGAGACTGTCTTTTTTCCATTGCATATTTTTCCTGCTTTGTCAAAGATTACTTGACCATAGAGTTGAGGGTCCATATCTGGGTTCTCTATTCTGTTCCATTGGTCTGTGTGTCTGTTTTTTGTGCCAGTACCATGCTGTCTTGGTGATCACTGCTTTGTAATATAGCTTGAAATCAGGCAATGTGATGCCCCCAGCTTTGTTTTTCTTTGTCAACATCTCCTTGGCGATTCGGGGTCTTTTCTGATTCCATACAAATTTTAGGATTGTTTGTTCTAGCACTTTGAAAACTGTCATTGGAATTTTGAGCAGGATGGCATTGATGGTTCAAAATGACACACTGTAATGTTTCCCTCCCATTTTCTAGATTACCAGTTAGACTGACCATGTTTTCCTGCCTGTGGACCCTTTACATCCCCACTCCCGTGAATTACCTTCTCACATAGTTCCCATTTGTCTATGTGGAGTCTACTGTTTTTTGTCTTGAATTCATAGGAGCACTTGACTGCACTGAGTTTGGGTCACGCTGGGACCAGCTGGGCCCCCCAGGGGTCAGGACCAGGTGTGTGGAGGAGTCCAGGCCTGGGTCAAGGCTGGGCAGGGCTGGGCTGGGGTCCAGGCAGGCTCAGGGCCCAGGGTTAGGACGACGTGGTGCCGGGTGTGGGAGGGGGTCAGGGTGGGGACAGGGGCAGGGCCTGGGATCCAGACGGGGTCAGGGCGGAGGGTCAGGTCGGGTCGGGTCAGGCTGGGGTCAGCAGCTCTGGCTATGGGTACAGAGGTGCCAACCGCCCGCAGCGGAGGCTGGCTGGCGGCCCTGCTCTGGTTTGTGCTGCTGCCGGCAGGCATGCAAAGGTCCTGGTCGGAGGCCTCCGATGCCCCGGGGGATGAGGCGGAGGCCGAGGAGCCGGGTTGGCCTGAGCGCGGAGCGCGGCCGTTGGCGCCTGGGGCGGGTGCGTTGGGCGGAGGTGTGTGGGCGGAGGGGTTCCGGGAGGGGCTGGGGCGGGGCCGCAGCCCTCTCTTCTCTCCGCCCCCTCTGACCAGGCGGCCCTGGGACATCCCCAAACCCCAACACAGGTGGGTAACAGGCCCCACTGCCGACCCCCTGGAACTGGGCAGGTGGCCAGGCCTGGCCCTGGGATGGGGGCTGGGTGGGGGAGGGCTGCTGCTGAATGAGGGGCCCAGGACGCCCCTCCCGGGGGTCCTGGGCACATCCCTGACCTCCCGGGCCCCCAGCTGTGAATCCCAGAACCAGGGCTGTCTTCATTAGCCCACTTCCTCTTCTTTGAGAAACGGGGCATCCTGAGTCAGGGGAGTGGCTTTCCCTGAGTTCCACAGCACCAGACTCCTGCCTGGGAACCTCCCTCCCTGAGATGCTGCGGCGGGGTGGAGCGGCCACAGGAGCCCCCTGGACACGTGATCTGGAGCCCGTCTGGAGACCTACAGCTCTTTGGTCTGCAGAGGAGGCGAGGAAGTGGAGTGTGCTTGTTGAAAGGAATATCTGGGATGTGCCCAGTCCCTGGCAGGGGCGTTCACAGACATCTGTCTCCCTGCAGATGCTGCTGTGGCCCCCTCATCCCCCTTGCCCCGCCCCGCCAGACCCCTGGGCCCTCATCCCCCCTGGGCCCTCGTCCTGCCAGGGCTTGCTGGCCTGTGCTCTGCTCTGCAGCTCTCAGCAGCACTCATGAGGGCAGGGTCTGGCAACCCAGGCCCCTTGACCCTTGGCCTTGGTTTTTGCCCCGTGACGTGGAGGAGGGCCTCTGTGACCGCATCATTTGGGGTCACCGGTGTCTCTGTCATGGACGGGGGGGTGTCTCCGCAGTGTGTGGGAAGCCCAAGGTGATGGGGAGGATCTACGGCGGCCGGGATGTGTTGGCGGGCCGGTGGCCGTGGCAGGCCAGCCTGCTGTTCCAGCGCGCGCATGTCTGCGGAGCCGTCCTCATTGACCCCCTCTGGCTGGTTTCCACTGCCCACTGCTTTCTCAAGTGAGTCCTCCTTCCTGGGTGCCAGCAGAGGGGCCGGTAGGGCTGGGGGATGAAGGGAGAGGAGTGAAGGGGTGATGGGTGTCCAATGCCAGTTCCTCTGGGCTTTGCTCTGGTGGGTGTGTGGCCTCCAAACACGACATTCCTGCCTTTGACCCATGTCCCCTCCACCTGAATGTGCTCCCCGCTCCCCGCGTCTCCGTCCTCAGCCCCTGTGCCTCCTCCAGCACGAACGTGCCCCAGGAGACGGGCAGGGTCTGTCCTGCTGCCATGCAGTGTGGGCAGGCTCTTTGCCTCCCCGGCCAGGGCTTCTCCTCAGTATCTGCAGACTCCTGGGCGTCAGACCGCAGGCAGGGACCTGGGACTGCACACACGGCCAGCAGCTAGCTGGGTTTTCTTACCACTTCTGCAGAACCGCGTGCCCAGGAGGAGTCGTGGCTGCTGGCACCTGCCTGCCAGGCTGCCTGGGTGGGTGGTGGGCTCCCTGAGCTTGACGTGGCTGCTCAGGAGGCTGGCTCCTCTGGCCTCCTGGGCCTGGCTCAGTGCCCGGCTTCTGAACAGACGAGGAGAGGTCTCAGGGGAGTGGGGGCATCACAGCCCAGGTCAGGGAGCTAGAGCTCAGGCACTGACTGGCTTTAAGGGCCCAGAGCCTCGTCAGAACCGATCCTCTGCCGCACGAGCCCCTCTGTGGCAAGGGGGTGTCTCCATGTTGGCAGGAGAGAAAGCCAACATGGGAGAGAGGGGAGGGCCCTGTGGACAGGGAGGGAGGTCAGGAGAGGTGCAGTGGCCCAGCCGGTGCTGGGGAGAAGGCTTTGGGCCGGGGGGCGTGGGCTTCCAGGGGGTGGGCCACGTAGTCAGCAGGGTGGGCCGTTTCGTGTCTCATGTTCAGGGGACAAGGCAAATGCACTCATTTGCTCATTTAAACAAATGAGCAAGTGGACCAGCAGCTGTGGGGCAGGAAGGTGTTTATAGAAAGAAGGGGGCGGAAAGGCGTGGGGCCGCAGCTGGGCCGTGGGGAGCTTTGGGAAGGGTCAGGCTAGAGTGAGCCCGGAGCCGGGGCTCCTCTGTGTAAAATGGAAGAGCTCGGTGTGAGGCCCCACCAGGGAGCCTTGAGCACGAGGAGTCCCTGCTCCTCCAGTGTGGGGTGTAGTGGGGGAGACACGAGCCTGAGGCTGGGACGGAAGATCAGTCGGCCTCAAGATGGTTGGGAAGAGGAGGCAGAAGCTGCCTGGCCTCCCCTGCAGGCACAGGCTCTGGAGGAAGGGGCGGCTAGACGAGGGGCAGGGGGAGCGCCGGCCCACGCTCAGAGGGGAGAGCGACCACGAGCTCTTCTCCGCCAGCAAATCCCGCGCCCCAGCGGACTACCGGGTTCTGCTGGGAAGCACGCAGCTGTACCAGCACTCCCAGCATGCACGGGAGATGTCCCTGAGCCGGATTATCGTGCACCCAGACTTTGAGAAGCGTCACCCCTTCGGGAGCGACATCGTCATGCTGCAGCTGCGCCTGCCCGTGAACCTCACCTCCTACATCGCCCCCGCCTGCCTCCCGAGCCCCGGCATGCAGCTGTCCAGCAGCTTGTCCTGCTGGATCACTGGCTGGGGGATGCTCAGCGAGGACAGTGAGGGGGTGCAGGAGAGGCGGGCGGGTGAGGGCCGCAGGGGAGAAGGAGGGCTCAGTCTGAGGGGCCCCAGACAAGCAGCCACAGGACGTTGGGCCTCTGGGCCTCATTTCTAGAGGACTGGACCATTTTAGTTCTAGTTCTGAAAAGTGTGTGATTCTAAAGCTTCAGAGTTCCTTGAGTCCGAGGACTGTCCAGCCTCCAGCATTCTCTCTCTCTCTCCCTCCCTTGTGTGCACACACACACACACATGCACACATGCCTTCCCATCTGTGCTTAGAACAACTCCAAACTCCCCGCCTTGGCGGTCAGGCCTGCGTGTTGTTGGCCCCCACCCTCCCTGCATGCCCCCCCCATGCCCCACCCCACGTCCTGTCCCAGCCACCAGCCTCCTTCCTGCTTGAGTGCTCCAGACCGTCCTGACCCCAGGGCCTTGGCCTCGGCTGGCTTCTCTGCCTGGCCTCTCTGCCTGGCCTCTCTGCCCACCGGCATTTGCTTGCGGACTCACTCTCTTTACATCTACAAGTCGGCCCCTCCTGCTTGCTCACAGGAGCTGAAAGGGGCACCTCCTTCTGTTCTGTTTCCTTCACACCATTTATTAGGTCTATAATAGTCCCGTCCACTTACCTCACTCATGCTGTGTCCCCAACAACAATGCCCCCTGTGTCGTGGGTATCCACAAGATGCCCAGCATGAGGACAGATGGGTGGAAGGGTGAGTGCTCGTGGCTGGATGGGGAGGTGTGGCTGGGAGATGAGTGGCTGGTGGCCAGTGTGAGGATGCTGGAGGGATGGAGCCGTATGTGGACAGGTGGGTGCATGGGCAGGTGGGTGTGTGGACAGGTAGGTACGTGGTTAGGTGGGTGGAAGGAGGGAGCATGGTGGGGCGAGAGGTAGGAGGATGGAGGGAAGGGAGGAAGGTCAACGACAGACAAGTAGACATGGATGGCATGCACTGGTCAGTGGTTGCTAAGGGCCCACGAATGGCGTGTGTTGCTGGGATTTGCCTTCTGTCTTTGAGGACTAGGACAGATACGAGTGAGGTGCAGGGAATGGAAGAGTCTGTGGAAAGTCTGGGAAATAGGAGAGGAGCCTGTGAGGGACGGATGGAAGGCTGCTGCCGTGTTCGAGGCTCATCTGTGCTGAGCAGGCCCCATGTTTCGGGGGCAGTGGGGGTGCGGCATGGCTGGGCTTCCCCACAGCACACGTCCCTGGTTCCCTTCTCGTCCACACAGAGCATCTGCATTCGCCCTTCCATCTGCAAGAGGGTAAGGTGAGCCTCATTGAGAACGAGTTCTGTAATGTCTTATACAGACAAAGACTTAGCAACAGCAAGACCTACTCTGTGCAAGAGGAGATGCTGTGTGCTGGGGACTTCTCGATGGGAAAGGCCATCTGCCAAGTGAGTGGGGCCGTTTCTCTTCTTCCCTGCCCACTCTCCTCTGTGTCCCCAGGGGCCGTGTTGCTTCTCCTCTGCTTGTGGAGCCCCCCGGGCCTGCGTGTCATCCCGTCCGCAGCCCCTTCCTAAGCCACACGAGGGCACCCGCTGGGACCCCCACACGGCGTCTGTTTTAGCAGGCTTATTCCCGGGGGGCAGCGTCGTGTCTCCGTGTTGGTTTGTGCGTTTGCTCTGCCCTGTCCCTCGTCCTGAGCGTGCGTCTGCTCCCACAGCTCTGCTGGGTTTCGCCGTGTGCATTCAGGCCTGCCGCGGCCTCCACTCCTGAGGAGTATTCTCGGAGCTTCCGAGTCTTTCGTTCCATTCACTTCCATTCACATTCTCCTTATATCCACAGCAACTCCGAGTAGAGTTGTTGGAGGGAAAGGTGTGCGGAGGCTCAGCTTTGGCAGGTGTTTGCAGACCTGGTACCACCTCGGGCAGCAGGCGCATCTGCATTCTCGCCAACGGCGGGCACGCTCCATCTTTGCTCACGTGGGCGTGTGTGCGTCGTGATATCTCACTGGGGTTTAATTTGTGTTTTCCTGATGACTAATTAAGTTGCGTAAATTCTCCTGTCTGTTGTCATCGTGTGTCTTCTGTGAAGTTTCCCTTCTAGTTTTTCCCTCTCTCACTTTTGTGCTGTGCTGTCTTTTTCTTTCAGGAGCTCTTTGCACTTTTGTATATTATGGATACACGTCCAATGCTGGGCATGTGGACCATGAGGGTCTCTTTCTGTTCTGTGCAAGGCCCCATCCTGCAGGTGGGCCAGCAGGCCCAGGGAGGAGACGTGGCCAGCCTAACGTAAGGCAGCGTGGCCGGACCCCCTGGTGCTCTGACTCTGAGCCCACCTGGCCTCCAAGCACGCTCCCAGGGCCCAGCCTCGAGAGCCGGTGTCTGGGCGCCCAGCTCCTGCACAGAAGGCTCCAGAAGGGGAAGGGAGAGTGGGAGGGCTTGGGAGCCAGACACACGGCTCGGCCACATGTCCCTGCCTGCACGGGGGCCTCAGGCAGCACCTTCCGAGCCTGCGCGGGATTCTGAGGCCTCCTCATGGGGTCGTCGAAAGGATGGTGTAGTGGGCTGAATACTGTTGCCCAAATTCATGTCCACCGGGAACTTTAGAATGTGACCTCACCGGGAACTCTGTAGGGTCTTCGCAGCTGTAATTATAGAGTCTCGAGGTGAGACCATTCTGCACTCAGAGGGGCCCTAAATGCAATGCCTGGTGTTGTTAAAAGATAGAGGGAAAGGCGCCAAGACCCTTGACCTCAGTCGCTGGCTTCGGAACTGGGAGAGGCGAGGTTCTGTTGTTTTTTAAGCCCCCCGGTTTGTGGTCACGTGTGGTGGTGGCTCCAGGAAACACAGACAGGAGGTGTGAGACAGGCCTGCCAGGGGGAGGCCTCACTGACAGCCGCTCTCACTGCGGCCCAGGAGCTGCTGAGCTAGAGGAGGAGGCTCGGCCACCTGTCCTCCTGCTTTCTGGGTTCCAGGCCACAGCCGATGGTGGGGACTCTCGGCCCAGCCTCCTCACAGGGTCAGCTGCACCCAGAGGTGATGCACACTCGGCTGTCACCCTGGACCTCCCACCTGCCCTCTCCTGCGGAGGCCATGCCTGTGGAGCTTAGAGCCGGTGCCCTTTGTGGGCCTGGGGGCTGGACATCGTAGTGCCCTCGACCCCAGGCTGAGGACTCCGCTGAGCTGGACACCCGGGAGCCCCCCCTCCTCCCTTAGCCTTCCCGTCACCACAGCCTGTCCATGCAATTCCCTGGCCCCGTCTTCCAGGCCACCTGCTCCGGCCGCCACCCCGGGCTCTCTTCTCTCCCCTGAAGGTCCCCTCCTTGTACAGGGCGCTGGAAGCAGCTCCGGGGGGTGGGTGCTGCAGGATGACTCAGCGCTCAGATTGTGGGGTGGACGGACCCCCTCCGGTCTCAATCTGTCGTTGGTCAGAGCTGGGAGCCCAGCCAGGTTTCCTCACCCATGAAGTGGGGATGTTGACAGCCTCCCCTTCACGAGGTTCCTGTAGAGAGCTTAGTGCAGCGCCTGGTCTGTAGGACCAAGGAACACGTGCTGGCCTTCACTCTCCCGCCTGGTCTACATGTCCTTCTGGGCCTGTCTTAGCCTCATCCTCATCAACATGGCCGTCGAAGCCTGGGCCCCGCCTGACACACGCACACACGTGGCTTGTTCTGTCCCTAGGCGGTGCAAACCAAGTTGCACTTGGCATGGGCTATGTTAGTGTTGGGGTTTCCTCTGCCGCTGAGAGCTTGGCAGGGCCCAGGGGGCCGCTGGAGCCCATCCTGCCTCCTCCAGGCTGGCCCGGGTCCCGCATAGTATCTGCTGCTCACCTGCAGATTGCTGAGGCATGGAGTGGGCAGAGGCCACGGCGCAGGACGGGGACCAGCTGTGGGGGCCACACCACGGGGAGAGCCAAAGGCACTCCAGGTGGGGACCCCTGGGGGCGCGAGGGGTCACCACTCTCCAAGGAGCCCCTGTGTGAGTCTGGGGGCCGCAGTGACGAGCCACCTCAAACTGGGTGCCTAAAGCAACAGATAGTCATCATCTGACACTTCTGGGCGTCCAGAGTCTAAAATGGAGGTGTGGACGCTGGCGGCTCCTTCGGGAGGCTTGAGGGAAGAATTTCCTTGCCTTCCTCAGCTCCTGGGGCCACCTGCACTCTTTGGCCTGTGGCCTCCTCTGTCCTCACAGCATGTGGCTCCAGCCTCAGCTTCGGGGGCACACCTCCTTCTGTGACTCTAACCTCCTGCCTCCCTCTGTCTCGTGCTGACCCACCCAGATAACCTAAGGCAGTCTTCCTATTCCTAGACCCTCACCCCAAGCACCACTGCAGAGTCCCATGTAAGGTCACAGGTTCCAGGGGTGAGGCTGTGTGTCTCTCAGGGTCACGTTTTGGCCCGCCACCCCGTGCCCTTCTGTCTCTTTCAAGTGACCTCTTCCCCAGCCGTGGGTCTCAGCTGGAGATCTGACAACACCCAGGCCGTCGCACTAGGAGCCCAGCGGCCTCCCCACCCACAGCAAGCCGCGCCCCCGCCCCCCCCCTGCACTGCCGGCCCGTCCTGGGGCCCTGGAGGCTCTCCCCCGGCCCCGCTCCCTCCTCCCCTGAAAGACCCCCCTCGACAGTACCGAGTCTCCTAACCCACTCCACCCAGGTGTGTCCCCACCATGCCACCAACATGCCTTGCCAGCCTTTCAGGACTCCAGTAACTCCCAGCACCTGTCAGGGGACCCCTGCTTGCTCCCGCAGACCCCCAGCAATGTGGGCTGCCTCCACCAGGCCCAGCCTTGGGCATTTTCTGGACATGCTCAACCAAGAAGCTGAGAGAAAACCAAAGTCCTAAAAGGATGAAGAGGAGGGGGCCCCAGTGGGGATGCACACTGCAGCTCCGGTGGAGGGGGTGGTTGGCATGTGCAGAGGCTTCGGCTGACTGACCTCCACTCACAGCCAGCCCTCCTGGGCCCTGTCCCTGCAACTGTCCCCTCTAGGCCTTGGCTGGTGCCTCGTCCCAGCCGCCAGCCCATTCCTCGGTGCAGGGGCAGAGGGCGGAGTCCAGAGGGGAGGTCAGGAGCCCCCTGAAGCGC